GGTATTCTCTTATATAACCTCAGCACAATGATCAAAATGAATACTGCTGCCAGACTATTCTCTAAATGGCAGACACTTTGCAGTTGTCCTTAATTTTCCCAGTACGCTTTTGATCACCAAAGAAAATCCAAGGTCCACTTAGGTCGCTTCCATAAGCCTGCATCTTAGTTCTCCCCATTCTGAACGACTATTTTTCCTTGTCTTTGTTATTGGCAAGTATAGTCATAGGCTGGCACTGACCTAGCATTTTTACTGTACCTTTATAATACTTAGATACGTTTAGAAACACAAATACCATGGTGCTCCATTTCCCCCCGTGTTCCACACAGAATGGATTCGTAGAGGAAGGGCAGAGGCTGTAGCATTGAGCCCAGCTGCGTCAGGAGTCACACACCTTGGTTTGTGTAAATACATTGGATGGCATTTGCACAAGGAGCAAACCTTCATCGCCAGGAGATGCATGACTGGATCTTGCAGATACTTGGAGACAAATAATTATTCCCTTCTGCCTTACTGATGGCTCTGGCATGAATCGTTACTAGGCAGGAGATCATAAAATGGTGGTTTTCTGTTTGCAGCACAATTTTTTTGGGTGGTGGTACTTGTGTTTGAACTCAGGCTTTGTGCTTGCTAGGCAGGTGCTCTACCATTTGATCCATGTCCCAGCCCTTTGTTAGTTATTTTTTTGGGTAGAATCTCACATTTTTGCCCTGGGTTGGTCTGGATCATGATCCTCCTACCTATACCTCTCAGACAGCTGGGATTACATATGTGCACCACCATATCAGCTGGCTTCTTGGTTAAGACAGGTTCTGGTTAACTTTTCCCTGGGCTGGTCTTGAACCGTAATCCTCCCAATTTCCATCTCCCAAGTAGCTAGAATGATAGTCGTGTAACACCACGCCTCGCCACATCTCAATGATTATAATAAAAGGCAGATGACTTCAATTTTTAGACGTTTTGGAGAGCAGAGGTGGGGTTCTTTTACAAAAGAAATCTGGGGGAGTGGGAATGCCTTCTTCCCCACCCCCTTGGAGAGCTACAGTTGACATGATTCTTTTGACTTTCTACCCAACACAGAAATTCTGTGTGGTGAAGGATTCCAGCAGGCAGTGTGTCCCTTGTTGAAATAAAACAATGACTCTGCTTTAAAGGGAATAAGAAAATAGCTCATTCTGAGCCACATAGGACCAACCATGGCCCAGGAACATGGAATTAAGTTACTCTGAATGACATGTCCCACTGTGGAAGAGGTTACATGAACTTTTATTATAGTCACAGAACAAAACAAACTCATAAATCAGTATGTGTACCAGTGCATTGATGGGAGCATCAGGTAGCAAAGTGTGAGATCTCTTGTTTTCAGATATTATAAAGTGTTCTTGGCTTTGGGATTGGCAGAAATAAGGATCTGTCAAGCTGGGTATATTCTGAGAAGTTTATCTGCTAGTTGTGAGAATGTCAAGTCAGATTAAAAAAGATAAGGCAAATGGGTGTTCAAGGGTCTAAGATAGCCCTGGATAATTTTGGCCCTTGATCTGGAGTGTTCCAATATTGCGATGCTCTAGTTGGCCAAGGCCACGTGGCCTAAAGGAACTTGAACTTCAGTTCATGTCCCATTGCTCTGTTTCCAGGGCGAAATGCTTCTCCTTCAGCCTCCTGTGGGTTAAGAGAAGCCACAGCTATGAGGAGGTTTGCTGAGGGGGGAAGGGGTCCACACTCATCAAACTCACAATTAAAAAAATTTTTGTTGTACAGGGGATACATTATGATATTTACATACGTGCTAACAATGTATCTTAGTTAGATTTACTTCTCCATCTTTCTCCCTCTTCCTCCTCCCTCACCTTGGTGCTTTAGGCCTGTATATATCGTACTTTAATCAAATTAACTTCTCTGTTACTCTTTGAGTCACCATGCTTCCCTAATATTCAACAGCTTACTGTACAGTACATTATATTCATATATAGATGGGTGCCAACTCATAATTGTTGATACCCAGGACTTCAGCTGTTCTTACTTGTCCTCCCGGGGTCTATTCTTGCACTAATGCAGATAGTAAATTTTTGTTTTGTTTTGTTTTGAGACAGTCTTGCTGTTTATCCTAGACTGATTTCAAACTTGAAATCCTCTTGCCTTGGCTTGGAGGCATGGTTCAAATGCCTGCCTAGCAAGCATTAGGCCCTGAGTTCAAATCCCATTAGTGCCAGGAATTAAAAAAAAAAGGGGGAGGGAGGGAAGGAAAACAAAGAAATCCTCCTGCCTCAGTCTCCTGAGTGCTGGGATTACAGGCATACACCACTATGCCCAACTGATAGCTGATAGTACTTGAGAGAAAATTTGATTATGTTAACTCTTCCATCCTCTGGTGGCTCTCCATTGTTTTTCAGTTAAAAGCAAAAGCAATTTCTTTCTCCTTTCCCTTCCTCCCCCTCTCTTTTTCCCTTTCTCCATTCCTTTCTCTCTCTTTTTCTTTCTCTCTCCCTTTTCTTTTCTTTTCCTTCCTCCTTCCCTCCCTCTCTCTCTCCTTTTCTCCTCTCTCTCTCTCTCTCTTTCTCCCTCCCTCTCTTTCTTTCTTTCTTTTGAGATTTAGCCTTGCACATGGTCTACTACTTGAGCTATGCCCCCAGCAAAAGAGGTGATTTTTGTTGCTGTTGTTGCTGAACTTAGGGCCTTGAGCTTGTGAGGCAGGTGCTCTACCACTTGAACCACTCTGCCAGCTTGCTTCAGTTATTTTTGAATGGTGTCTCTTGTTCACAGCAGGCTCTGACCACGTACTTATCGTTCCCACATAACTGGGATGACAGGCATGCACCACCACACCTAGCTTTTGTTGCCTGATATGGGATCGCTTGAACTTTTTGCTGGGCAGCCTTGAACTACAGTCCTTCCAATCTCTGCCTCCTGAGTAGCTGGATAGACATGAGCCACTATGCCTGACAAAAAGCAAATTGTAGCATGGCAGATTTTAATTTCTGCACCTTCTCATTCCTGCCCATGGCTCCAATTTCTTCTTTCTTTTTCTACAGCTGCAGGGTCTGGTTCAGTCACAAGAATGCCTCAGGGTCTTTGTGCACACTGTTCCCTCTATCCAGACTTCTCTGAGGCTTCTCCTGGCTGGCTCCTTCTCAGATTTCAGTCATTTTAAATGACTTCCTCAACAGATACTTTTCCTATCCCTCCCCTCCCACAACTCATAATGCAAACAATTATTTAATGCCCCTCATTCTTAGCTCTACAAGGAAAAGAAACATGTTTATTTTGGGCACTGTAAATCCCTTATTACATACTGTGTGTTGATTCTTCCACACAACAGAAATTTATTAACCTGTAGCTATGTCAAGCGTGGAAGTAAAGACGTGAATGAGACTGGCAAGATTTCTACTATTGTGGAGGAGAGATGGTCCCTGTATAATAAATAAGAATTGCAGGTAAAGATGAACATGTTCTAAAAATGACTGAAGAAGGGGACAAAGGAATGGAAAGGAGTTTTGGAAAGTGTGGTCAAGGAGGACTCACTGGAGTGGCAAGGAGAAGCCAGGCTGAAGTGTAAAGGGCAGGGCACAGCCAGGGTCAAGTCCTTGAGGCAGGAATAGGTTTGCCTGTTGAAGGAAAGATGGGATGAGCTCCTAATAAACTACTTAAGAAAGAGTAAGAATGAAAGCTTTGGATCTAGGGTCAAATTTGGTGCTTTTCCAAATTTTTTTCTTTCTTTTTTTTTTTTTTTGTGGGACTGGGATTTGAATTTAGGGCTTCTCACTTGCAAAGTAGGAGCTTTGAGCTTTGAGCCACACCCCCAGTTCATTTTGCTCTGGTTATTTTGGGGATGGGGGTCTGGAGAACTATTTGCCGGGGCTGCAATCTTCAGGATCTCAGCTTCCCAGTTAACTAGGATTACAGGCAAGCCACCCCGGAGCCCGGCTGATTTTTCCAAGTCTTATTTCCCTTGTACTTTCTCAAATCTGCATGCAGGCACTCTCAAACTTCTTATACTGGGGAGGCAAACACAGGGATAAAGTCACTAGTCTGAGACGACACATGAAGTCATGGGAAGAGGAATCGAATTCCCTTTCGGGTCTGGCTTTCCTAGATACGTAAGCCCCCTTCAGCCAGGTGGGTGGACCATTGTCGTGTTCTACTGGTGAATGGCTTCCCTAGACATTCAGACCCCCGTAGACTGGTGTGCCTGTTGAAATTCCAAGGTGTCCACCTGCATCCTTTCCAAGCTCTCTCGCGCTTCCTTTGCTTTTTAGGAACTTCTGAGTATTTTCCCAGGTGTCATTTCTTCAATTTGAACCTCAGGCTGCGCCAGAGGGGCCCAGGCCATGCAACACAGGGAGCGCTCAGAGTTGTGGACACGTGGCTGTCCCCAGGGGCCTGGCGCGGGTCACGCCGCTGGGCGGGGACGCCCGCGGGGGAGGGACCTCTGGGGTGCCCGTTGGTTCTAGGACGTGAGTCCCGGGTCGCTTCCAGACTGGGATAAAGCGAGCCGGGCGTTTATTCTCTGGGCTGTAAAATTCAAGGGCGTGCCAAAAGTCGGAGTCGAGAATAAAGGCACAGTTAAAGAATATTTCAATACAATATTGGAAACAATTAAAATGATCCTCCTCCCTCTTCAAAGCTCACAGCAAGCAAAACAGCAAAAGGGTTAAAGACAGGATCCGTCTGGTTGGATTGGCCATCTGGGGTGCCCCCAGGCTCAGAGATCACAGTATTGGGGCCGTTTGGGGATCTGGGGCGCCCCCAGGCTCCAAAACTGCAGTCTGGGGGCCATTTGGGGAGGGGATCTAGGGCTCCCCCAGTCTTCAAGATTGCAGTCTGGGGACCATTTGCGGTGGGGGCCTGGGGCGCCCCCTTGGCCCGGTGGCTGGGAGCCTGAGGGTCCGGGCTGGCCCAGGGAGGCGGGCGGGGCGGGGCCAGGCGGCTCCTCCCTGCGTGCGGTTCCCCCCCGTCCCCGGGCCTCTCCCGGGCTCCTAGTCCCTTCCGAGCCGTAATCCGCGCCGCCTTTTCCCGTGGCCCGCACGGGGCCCAGCTGACGGGCCGCGTTGTTTACGGGCTGAGCAGCCCTTGCTCCCGCCGCCCGCCAGCTCAGGTGCCCGCCCGCCTGTCCGCGCGTCCCTCTGCCCCGGAGTCCGCAGATCGTGGCCCAGAGCGCGCAAGGCCGAGAAGCAGGAGACACGGAGCGCAGCGCGGAGCATCAGGCTCTGGGATCACGGGACGGGGTCCGGGCCGCAGTGGCCTGAGGGTCGGAGCCGCCTCCGCCGGGCCGCGCGCCACCGCTTTGGTAACCGCCGAGGCCGCGCGCCCGCCCCGGGGCCGCGTCCAGGGTCCCTGGCGTGGGGGCTCCGGCCAGCGGGCCGCCAGCGGGGAGGAGAAGGACACGCAGTCCCCAAGCGCCTCCCCGAAGGCCGCCTCGAAGCATGACCCCCGCGGGCCCGCGCCGCGCGCTCTGATTCGCTGGGACCCCGCGCTCCAGCAGCCATGGGCGCCGGGGGTCGGCGGGGGGCGGCTGCCGCGGCGCTGCTGGTGGCGGTGGCCTCGCTCCTGGTGGGCGCCGCGGGCCACCTGTACCCTGGAGAGGGTGAGTCTGGGGGCGCGGGAGTGGGCGGGGAGCACCGTGGGGAAAGGGGACACGCCCCAAGCCAAAATAGAGTTCCCGCGAAAGACAGAGAGTCTGCCCCGGGAGAGGAGGACCGTGGTGGCCAGGATGGTCTCTTGGGTCCCCGCAGCGGGGGGCGGGAAACCGCTGACCTTGGCCTTTGCCTGCCGGACTCGCGCGCTGTGCGCCCCGCGTGCCCGATCCGGGCCTCAGGAACCTTGCCCCAGTGCCCGCTCTGCCGCCGGCGCCTCTGCCGAGCGCCTCTGAACCGTGTCTGGCCCGCTCCGAGCCCAGCCTACTAGGGAGACACTACTCCCGTCCCCTCTGGGTCGCCACCGGGAAGTGGGGTCGCTGGTGGGGACCGTCTCCGACAGTCAAGCGCCCAAGCGCATATGGTATGGAGCCAAAGCCCAGGATGCCCCACTGGTGGGTGGCGCTTCCCGAAGTGGGGAATCGGAAAGATCCCCCAAACCCTTCCTTGGACCTAGGCACTTGGACACTCGTGTTTACATTTCTATTATCACATATGCAGAGGTAAACGCTAACTAAGCCTTTATCAGTGATAGCAAGTGTAGTAGCAGTGTGGCGGGATTTCATTAAGATTATTATAATTAGGATTACCATACGCCACCAGGCTGGTCGTCTCACCCCTGGAGGCTGATATTTTGTGCATCCATTTCACAGAGGAGTAAACTGAGGCACAGACAGGGCACATACTTACTTGCTCCACAGGGATAACTTGAACCTCTGTGTCTGGTTCCCTCCCCCTCAAGGCTATAGACTATTGTCCCTTGTCTTATAACTCCCAAACCTCTCTGGCTCCTCCTCTCTGTTCTGGATGAAGACCCCTTTGATCTTGAGTGAGTCTTTCAATCTCACACACCCTGTGAGTCCTAAAGTGGGAACAGAGGCAAACTTCAACCCCAGTGTCCCCTTAGGCCTTGACACCAGGTGCTTTTCTGGTTATAGGAGAAAGATAGAAGAATATAGCTTGGGTTTCCCACTATGGGGTCTGAAGCCCTGTTTTAAAAATATCTGTTGAGTTTTTGCTTCAATTTCTCCATAAAAGGAAATTAATCATGATGAGGAAGGGGTCAGGGAGGGAAGGACTTGAAGTTTCTAAAATCACTGACCAGGAAAGAGGTGCAGGAGACAGCCCAAGCTTTGGAATCGATCAAGTGGGGTTTATTGAGCTGCTCTGCCAGTCATGTAATGTCTACGAGCCCCTGGTATACAGTAGGTGCTCAAACTAAGGGTGGCAGTTGGGTTTGGGTTCTTGTTAAGAAAATTCAAGATGCCAGGCGTGGGTGTTGTTGCTCACTGCTTTTCTGTTCCTTGTGGCTTTGGCGATTAATTTTAGACCAGCACTTGGACTTTCAGGGGTCAGTTAATGAATTTGTCGTTTCTTTACAAGCTTACAGGTTCTGCAAGTACAGGGGCTTATGTTTGTTTGCTTCCCATGATGTTGCCAGAGCCTAGAACGGTGTCTTGCACTTAGTAGGGGATCAGTAAATATTTGTTCTTGGATAGGGTCCAGGTGATGAAGCCATCTGGGTATGTTTGGCATATTTATTGTGTTAGGAAGTTCATTGTTTTCTGGAAAATCTACATGCTGTGCATATATAATGTTAGGGAGTCCTCACCACATCACTCTGAAATTGGTAGACCTTTCCTTTCCAAAGGTGAGGAAATTTGATGGGGTTGTAGAGTGAGCAGGTAGTGACAAGTCCAGAGAATCTGGCTCTGGAGCACTGGTTTCTTAACAAACACTTGTTCTTTGGAACGGAGTCTCCCCACCCCTGCTTTGGGGTAATGGTTAACAAAAGCCTATCAAATAAATGAGATGTGAGGTTTGGGGAGGGGCAAGGAACTTTCTAGATCATTAATCTGTAAAATCAATCAATGTGGTGTTTTGGTTGGGGTGGAGGATTGGGGGGAAATAAGTGTGATTTTTTTTTTTTCAGTACTGGAGTTTGCACTCAGGACCTTGCACTTGCTAGGAAGGCGCTTTACCACTTGAGCCATGTCCCCAGTCCTTTTTTTTGCTTTTGGTTATTTTTCCAGGTACAGTCTCATGTTTTTGCCCTGGCTAGCCTCAGATTGTGAATTTCCTACCTACGCCTTGCACGTATCTTGAGTCACTGTTGTGCACTGTCACACCCAGCTTGTTGGTTGAGATGGGTTTTCACTAACTTTTTTGCCCTACCTAACATTGAATTGGAGTAGTTGTGGTCTGAGATTACTGTGGAGCATTGTAAACTCAGAATGAAGGCAATGTGGGATTAATTACAACAGGAGCCCACAGAGCTTGGGGATGGTCTCTAGTGAGCGTCTCTCGGGAGATGCTGACTTTCAGGGGTCCTCTCATTCCTCAGGCCATTCCTAGCACTTTTCCTACCCTTTGTGTCTCTCATGGGGACCTGCCTGTTCCGCCTTCCCTATTTACTCATAGAGATCATCAGGGTGAACCCCTCCGGCTCCCCACCTTTTCCCCACCCCATCATCGTCTTCCGTTCCTACTCAGTTCAAGCACATCTTCTCAGCCTTGACATCTGTGGGTGGTAGAGCTGTCCTGGGCACTGCAGGGTGTTGAGTGGCATCCTTGGTCTCCATTCTTTTTCCCCAAATATGACAATGAAAAGTGGGTCCAGGCATTGCCAACTGTCTGAGATGCTTCTCCACTGTGGTCCTTGCTGTCCCCCCGTCCTTGTTCAGGAATCTTTATTTACCCTCAAACCCTTCTCTCTTTAGCCTTCAAATGTTCAGTAGGACCCCCGGCTTTCCAACTATCTCACCTCTAAGCTACTGTTGTGTCCCCGGTGTCTGGCTTGTGTCTCTGCTACTTCTCAAGGTAATCCCTCACCTCCTGGTTGTGTTTCTGGGAGACTGGCCTCAGATGACCCCTCTGGGTTTGACACTTCTCTGTCCCTCCCACTGGAAGGCAAATCTAACATTTTAACCTGTGCCTGGCTTTCCCTGTTCTATGCTGTTCTCTCACTGTGGGAGGCGGTGGGGGGGGGGCGGTAAAATGTTGGCTTTCTCTTCCTAGGCTCCAGTCTCTCCTTTGACCTTCTAGCCACTGTGTAATTTACACCTAGTCTAACTCCTTCATCTAGGAACAGGTCAGCAAGCTATGACCCTCTTGCTAAATCCCACTGCTTGTTTTTATAGATAAAGCTTTATTGGCATGGGGCTACACTCACTTGTTTACTCCTCATCCAGGGCTGCTTTTGTGCCCTAATGGCAGGGTTAAGTAATAACAATGATAACAAAATATTTTCACTTGTGTCCTTCACTCAAAGAGTTTCCCAACCCTGAGGTGGACCATGCGCTTTTCTTTCTGGCAGTACTGGGGTTTGAACTCAGGGCCCTGCGATTGCTAGGTAGGTGCTCTGCCACTTGAGCCATGACCACAGCCCTTTTAGCTTTAGTTATTTTTCAGATGGGGTCTCCTGCGTTTTTGCCACAATCCTTGTTCCTATACCTCTCACATAGCTGGGATCACAAGTGTTTACCACCTCGCCTGGCTTATTTGTTGAAATGAGGTCTTGCTTACTTTTTTGCCCAGACTGACCTTGAACGTCCGTCCTCCCTATATCCACCTCCTGAGTAGCTGAAATTGCAGGCATGAGCCGTTTCGTCCAGTCCTGGGGTGAGCTTCTTGACTGCCAATTCACGATGGCATGTCTAATAGCTGGTGTGGCCCCTGACACAACTTGATTAGGTCAAGTTAGATGAAATGCCCAGGAATGCTGTGTTTTCCTCTTCAAAGCCATGTTAAGGACATTTGTACTATTTGCTGGACTGAGCAAATAGGTTCTGCGAGTGAGGAAACAGCACCTCTGTTCCCCCTTAGCCCTGTGTGCCATCCTGGGATTCACTGATTTTAACAGTCACATTGGCATGGAATGAGTGTTCTGCCATTGCCTTCCTCCAGAGCCCAAAAGGAAATGGGTATGCGGTCAGATTTTTTTTTCCCCAAGATACTCTGGTGTTAATTTTTATTAGGGACACTTTTGTCGGGTGGTGTGGTTTATGTTTTGCAATTGGTTTTTAAATTGTTGTCAAGAAAATGCGTCCTCATTGCAGTAACTATGTATGTACGTATGTATCATCTCCGAGCATGTGAGTGCATGCACACACATACACTAGTAGAGAGAAGAAAAAGCCAAAAATATGAGTTTAAACTCTCATAAGTGAGGTTTTTTGTTTGTTTTTGGCAGTACTGGGGTTTGAACTTAAGGCTTTGTACTTGCTAGACAGGCATTCTACTGCTTGAGCCACTCCCCCAGCACCCCCACCTTCAAATTCTTATCTCCAAAACCATTCCATAAGGGTTTAATGTGTATCTTCTTAACCTTTGAAAAATATTTAGTTTGTACCAGCTTTATCACACTGTAAATGGTCTCCTTTGGCCCTCACTTTGATGAGTTTTAAGCCATGTGTAGAGGTGTGCGTTCCAACACTCAGGATGCAGGATAGTCTCATCACTGTCCAGTCACTCATACCACCCCTTATCGCCACGGCACCCTGCCTGTGACCTCCTGCAACCACTAGCCTGTTCTTCATCCTTGTAATTTTCTCTAGACTTAAAAAAAAAAAGTCTTATGGTTGGATTAATAAATTCTTAAAACTGAAAATTTTGATCCTCTTATTCCCAGACTTGGTATTTATAAAGTTTCCTTCTTGCTAAGATTTGTAATTCCCAAATCGATCCTTTGTGGTCATTTCAGGACACCTGAAAAATTTGAGCCTTGATTTTAAAGACAAAGCCAGGCATGGTGTAATTCCAGCTACTCAGGAGGCAGAGGCAGGAGGATCAAGCGTTTGGGGGAAAGGCAGTGTCCACAGCCTATCTCAAAAACAAAATAAAAACTAAAGGGCTGGGGTATAACTCCAGTGGTAGAGTGCCTGCCTATCACACGGAAAACCCTGAATGCAATCCCCAGCACTGGAAGAGAAAAGGAGGAGGAGGAGGATCC